AAACAATTTGAAGCACCATCCAGCACTGCAGCAGTAACATCAACTTCATTGCAAAACCATCAACATCAAGCAATAGCAAAAAAATAGCAGCAACAACTCAGCCACCTGCAACCATGGAGGGTAGCACAAACATAACTTTTGTCCTCTTGTTCTTCTTATTCTTGAAAAAATCATAAAAGTTCTCATTCATGAAGGAGGATTCCGCACCGAATAAATGCATTTGTGTTGCATCAAATGACATACCCTTCATAAATTAGAATGGATCAATGAGAATATAACATTAAAATCAATGCAATTAATGTATGAATAAACTAACATACCTGAGTATTGGATGCTTGTGAACATACTACTTGTATAGATAATGGTTGTGAAGGTAATGGTTGTGGACATACTGGTTGTGAAGATGAAGGTACCTTAATGACAAATAATCATGAAATCAATATTGTCGTATGTTAAATAAATATAAAAAAATCATTCAATGTTCGATGTGTCATACCTTAGACATATTAGAATGTTGTGTAACTACTTTCTTTTTTCTCATGCCACGACTTGAGTCGACCTCAGCCTTTGTAACCACCATCCTTCCTTTTTGTACCTTTCACCCCTAAAGTGTTAGGGTCCACATTCTCCATTCCTTCATTATCCACACATGTGTTTTCGAATGAAGCACTACCTTTATTAATATGTGATGCAAACATTTTCTCCACTTGTTCAACAAATTTTGAATGCCTTGTGTCACCAACTGATGTGCAGTTCCAAGTTCAGAGCAACGAGTTGCTAATTGTACCATTCTAGGACACAGTTGCTTATAACGAAATGTTGCCACCAACTTAGGATTCTTCACATCTGATACACTATAATCTGGCGTATGAATATTCTTTGCATCTCGTCTCCATCTTTTTATTATGTAGCCTTTAGGAATTTGCTTAATATTCATTGTGTCCAACACTTTAAGTGCATGACTACATAATATTCCAACCATTTCAAACTTTCGACAATTACAACTAATAAGTTGTTCAGTAGCATTTATCCACACCAAATACTCCCTCTCTTTTTCGAACAATTTAACAACAAATTGATGTTGTTGCTCCATAGTATTGCATGGCTGCACAACAGCACACTGGAATGTATCATACTCGGCATGAAATAAATCAAACATAGGAGGAGTGTAACATTGTCCAACGTGCACCAACATGGGAGCTTTTTTTAACTTCATTCTTGGCAACTTTTGCCTGGCATGGTACTCTTCCTCTAACTCCACATATCTCTTATCATTTAAAACTCTATCAAAGTGAGTAAAAAAATGAACAATATCATGATCTGGCTTTAAGTACTTTCGCAATTTTGCATTCAAACTCTCACTAAGTTGGGTGCTCCTCATACCTGTTGTAAAAGTTCTCTTCATATACATCTTAGCCCATTTCTCCCTCAAAGTCCAAGTTGTCTTCATCCAGGTATTATTCTGCAAATTATACTCATCAAACAAAGTATTCCAAGTCTCAAACAATTCATATTCTTCCGTATATTTGTAGATGCATTTTTGCAATTTGGTAACAAAGTTAGAACCATCCTTGTATATATTCCTTAGATGTTTTAAAGCATTTTGGGAAAGGTGCCAAGTATGTAGGCCGTGATAAGTCTCCAGCATCACTTGGGTTATTGCCTTAGCCATTGCTTGATCTTGATCAGTAAAGATGGTGATAGGCTTCTTCCCAGACATTGCAAAAATGTCTCAAATAACCATTGAAACGACACTGCCATTTCATCATACAATAATGCAGCACCAAAAATCACAGTTTTCCTAAAATGATTAAAGCCAACAAAGCATGCAAAAAGCCGATAATCCTTGTTCGTACAGAATGTTGTGTCAAATGAGACAACGTCTCCAAAGTGACGATAGTCAATAATCATTTTCGAGTCAGCCCAAAAAATATTTGTAATATGCTCCTCAATATCCAACTGGATACCATAGTAAAATAATGGATTTTTAACTACTTGTAACCGAAAATAATTTAACAAATTGTCAGCTTCACCATATCTCAACCCTCGTTGCCTCCTATTACGAATGTAATTTTTTTGGTCTTGTCGAGTGAACCTCAAATTTTCCCTTTCACCTGCCTGGGTATTCATAAGTTCATATGAATCTTTAAGTAATATCCCACAATTCGTTGTCATGTCAACATGAATGTCTTGCATAGTAGAAACCTTCCTTTGGGATGACATCATATGCACACATTCCTTAAGGTGCAATGGATGATTGTGATCATCCTCCTATTTAACCACATTAATTTCCCAATTTCCTAGTTGAGGGATATGCACAGTGAGCCAGACATTTGGTTCGTGTCTTGGCTCGTGACTTTATTACTTTTCAATCCTTTTTATCAACACCTCTTTCTCCCTCTTTGCAACAAACATACTTTCTATAAATCATGATCCGAGCTTTCTTACTTTTATTGTGATAGTTTTTTCTCACACTAAATCCGACCGAACCTCCATATTTGTTATAAAACTCATAAGCATCTTCATCCGAGTCAAACTGCATACCAATATTTGGAGTGTTCACAATTTTATTAACCACAACAGACTCCATTATAGATGTCAGTACCTTCAAAAAAATTAGAATAACTACTGTATCAACACTAAAGCAAGCTTCAATGTATTTTTTTTTTAATGGTATGTTACATGGAGAGGTGACGACGAAGTTCGAACCCACAATCAATATAAATTAACAACAAACCAAAACATCACAATTAAATCATATCATAAAATTTAATAATGATCAAAGAAATCAACAAAACAATAGAAGATTCAAAATTTTAAAATTTAAATTTAGATCAAGAAAAATCCAACTAATAAAAATATAAATTTGTGGGTGTGTATATATATATATATATATATATATGTGTGTGTGTGTGTTTATGTGTGTGTGTTTATACATATATCCACTTAAAAATATTACAAATGGACATAAGAATACTTGAAATGGATGAAGGAGACGAATCACAAAACCAGGAATCGCAGTGCACCAAGAATCAGAAACTAGAGAATTATTTTTTGGTGAAGAAGTTGGCCAAGAATGGCGCCAAAAGTTTAACCCAAGAAAACCAGACGTTGCCCTTTTTGGCAAAAGTTAACATGTTGTTTAACGAGCAAAAAAGGAAAAATCAAACGGCGACGTTTGTGGGTCTAAATGATTTTTAAAAAAAGGCACAAAACTGTGCCGTTTGGTGAACAGCAGACGAGCCGAATCCGAAAATTTTATACCATCCCTCTATATATATATTTATTTATTTATTGCACGAATCCCTTGGTCATGATCCAACATGTAAGGTGACGATTGACAATTTCGTATTTTTATTTTTATTTTATGGCCAAAAAAAATAAAAAACAAAAAGACATTTGGTGAATGTTTTCGTTTTTTTTTAACTGTTCCACTTTGAAAACAAGGTTAAAATATGAAAATATAAAAAAAAAAACAAAATAAAATTTAATAAGATCCTAACTTCGATCCTCCTTAACAACAAAAAATAAATTTTCTTACTTGAGTATAAAAAAAAAACCTCACTCTTTCACTTTTTATTTTTCAAATCTCTCTCTCTCTCTCTTCTTTCTCTTTCTCCTTTCTTTGATCGATTTTGCAAGGAAAGTTGGGTGGTGGGTTTCGAGAGTGGTAGTGGGGGTTGGGTGGTGATGGATATCTGGGTGCGAGAAGTGGGTAGTGGTGGGGTTGGATGGTGGTGGATTTTCGGAGGGTGAGTAGTGGGTGGTTGTAGGGTTAGGCGGTGGTGGGTTTTGGGGGTGGTTAGTGAGTTTTGCTGGTGGGTTTCGAGGATGGTTGATGGATTTTGCAGGGGAGTTTAGGTGGTGGGTTTCGAGGGTAGTGGTGGGGTTGGGTGATGGTGGTTTTTACGGTGGGGGTTGAGTGGTGGTGGATTTCGGGGAGTGGTGGTGGGGTCAGGTGATTGGTGGTGTTGTTGGCTGGTGAATTTTTGATATAATACAAAATATATTTTTTATTTTGTTTTTATAATTTTTAACATATAAATGACTATTAAATATATTTTATATTTTTAGTTNATTTTTGATATAATACAAAATATATTTTTTATTTTATTTTTATAATTTTTAACATATAAATGACTATTAAATATATTTTATATTTTTAGTTTTTATAAAAAAAAATAAAAAATTAGTTTTTTTTTTATTTTTTTTAATAAAAAAATATATAAAAACAAAAAATTTATCAAACGTACCCTAAAAAATTAAGAAAAATAAAATTCATTTAAAATACTAAAATTATCCTTACATAAACCCTTAACACTTTTTCTACATAAAATTTGATTAAAGTTCATGCTAATTAAAATTTATTTTTTTAAATATTAAAATTCGAGCTGATTAAAATTTATTTTTTACATGCTAAAATTTGAATCAATTAAAATTCGATTTGAGCTAATTAATTTTTTTTTACATATTAAAATTCAAGCCTATTAAAATTCGAGTCAATTTGACCTCAACCTAAATCGTTAGTGTCGATTAAAATTCAATTCGAGTCAATTAAAACTTATATTTTTTTACTTATTAAAATTCATATCAATTAAAATTTAATTCAAGTTGATTAAATTTTTTTTTTATATATTAAAATTTGAATCAATTAAAATTTATATTTTTTTACGTATCAAAATTCAAGATGATTAAAATTCAATACGAGTTGATTAAAATTTAATTTGAGCCGATAAATAACAATTTTAATCAACTTGAATCAAATTTTAATCAATTCAAATTTGAATACGTAAAAAAAATTTATAAAATAGAGAAAATCTCATTAAAAATATACCTATTTATAGGGTGTGTGAAAGAAATTTTTTCTAAAATACATCATGAACAGTTTAATAAAATTAGTAAAATTATATTCTAATTAAGGCTTTTAATAAAGATAGGGACTTTAAAGATATGATAAACTAAAAAAGATGTGATTGACATTTTCCCAAAAATTAAAAACCCATCAAATACCAGAGGTATATTGTGTGCATTCGATTGACGAACGAATTAACAAGATAGTCACTGGCACAAGATACAAACTACTGAGAATGTTTCCACGATTCTCCAAAATACACTAAGAAGGGATTTTCATGCAGGTCATAAAACTAAGAAATCTTTTAGCAACTGCCTTGTAGACATCCCAGAGAATTCTTAAAATATGCATCATAAATACACAGTGCTTAACTGAAACATGAGTTCGAGACAATGTACAATCCGCCATTAATCTGCAAATATTAGCAGCCAGAACTTTAGAATTCAGTAGCCGGATAATGTAATTATTCCACAGCAGCAGAATAGGAGGCCCAAATTTATAAGAACGCACTGCATTCTCTTTACAACTGTCGGGATGCCCCGAAACAGAGAAGCAAAAACTGTTGCCACAACCAAAAAATTAGAAATGAGGATAAGAAATGAGACTGTTAACCCTCAAGAATGACAAAAGACCGTGTATTTAAAGAATCAAATTGACAAACTACAAAAAATAATAATAATAATTTAGACAATTTAAGATTAAACAAACTGTCATGAGACAGGAGAAAAGGAAGTTACCGCGTGCAAACAAAATTTAAACAAGCTACAGCTCACTATAATTGCGCCAAACTGCACGGAATTCCTCACGGAATGTGTTCAGACGAGCTTTCAAGTTAGGTGTTCTAAAGCTTGCATGGATGATAGTGACTGAGAGAGAGAGAGGGCATGAAAATAAATCAAGCATATGAATACAAGTACATAAACTGCAAATGTTATATAACAGATATGGGAGTGTGCTTTTCACAAAAAAAAAGTGGAATTACCAAGAAGGCCAATGGCAAATGCCCATAGAACAGTTAAGAGGCCACAAGAAACAAACCAAAGAATGAAACTCACTGCATATAGAATAAAAAGGAAAAACTAAATTAGTTGATATTCAGAAACACTAAATTTTGGTCATAAAGGAGAACTAACACAAATTTTCTAACAATTTCAAAGTTTTCCCATACCAGCAGAGAATACCAAAACAAACACCCAACGAGGCTGTCCACATATGTAAATCTCCCTTTTAGCTGATGGACGCCGACGGATAACAGGCCTAAAAAATATCAGCTAATTAAGTAAGCAGCATTACCAGATGCTTTGCAAGTACAAAGGAGCAAAAAACTCTTACGTAAGTGGGGGCCTCATTTTTGCAGCTAAATGTGGAGAAAACTGCCTCACACTTCTTGTTACCTTTTCACTAAAAGTACCTGCAAAGCTGTAGTAACACTCCTTAAGAGAAATCATGGAAAACTGAAAGGAAAAAACATATGAGAAAATAAAGAACAGTAGAATACATATAAAATCAACCGTAGTGGAAAAATGGTGTTCTTNACTGAAAGGAAAAAACATATGAGAAAATAAAGAACAGTAGAATACATATAAAATCAACCGTAGTGGAAAAATGGTGTTCTTCTTTATTTCCTTTTTGTGTGTCTGTGTGTTGTTGATGGGGGTGATGGTTCTATGAGAAAATAAAGAAAACATATGAAATCAACCGTTGTGGAAAAATAGTGTTCTTCTTTATTTCCTTTGTGTGTCTGTGTGTTGTTGATGGGGGTTATGGTTCTCGGTATGACCTTATTCTACCTCATAACTTAGCACTGGTTTCCCTTTTCATGGTCAGAGAAGATTGATGAACCTTTCTTGATTATGTAAACAAATATATAAACAATTAGCGATCAATACAAAGAACTGGAGGGCTATATATTTAAATAAGTTATAGCTTAAACAAATAAATCATTCATCTTTGTGGGTCATAGGAAGAAAAAAAAAAGGTGATCAAGTGCACGAGACTCAGGCAACTACGGGGTTTGAGGAGGGTCAGATGTATATAACCTCAACCCCACAACCACAACTGAAGATGTTTGTGTGTCTCGAACTCTTAATGTCCAGTCACAATGGAGCAACCTTACTAATGCTCCAAGACTCACCCAAGTTTTGTGAGTCAAAGGAATCACCCTCAAATTTTTTATACCTAGTATATGTGGAACACACAATTCGTCTACAAGATTCATCTATTACTATAAAATTGAAACTATAGCAATAATACTATTTAAGAAATGAAATGAAAAAAAAAAAGATTTAACTTGTTTTTGAGTAAATTATTTACTTGCCCCCAAAACTATATCACATTTCAATTCGGCCATTAAATTGTATTTTGTCTTTAGATTACATTTTATATCAATTGAGCCCTCCAATGTTCTAATTTAAGTAAATTTGGACCTTTCATCCAATTTTGTAAGAATTGATAATGAAAAGAAACAAAGTGCCACTCACATGATAGCTCATGCAGAGTTATCTTAGATAAACTACCCAAACCCAAGTCCAATGGCCCTGAAAAACCCAACCCAATCCAATTCACCATCGAACCCATCCCCTAAACCCCTTAAATCTGTCACATCCACCTCCAACTAACCACTTGTTAACTTACCCAAAAAAAAAACACAAGTTGAACTTATTCGTATCACCAGAAGAATTTGATAATGATCAACGATCCCTTACAATTGATCAGTCTTTTACTCCAGCAACTGAAATTATACATCTAGCACTACCTACCATCACCACTAACAAACTAATATGCTTTTGGCACTAACTACCATCACGTAATCCAGAAAAATCTGAAGAACAGTTATGAACAGTTTCTTTAGCATGAAAATATGTGTTTTAACAAATAGTTTGACAGCCATTCAAATATTGAATGAATCCCTATGGAAAACAGTATAATATAGATGCACAACGTAAAAGGATCAGTATACCTGTCATTTAGAAATGTGATGCTTAGAGCTGTCAATAGTGCAGCAACAATAGCAAGGGGCCTTCTCAAAAAAGCCATTCCTGCAATCAAAATTGAACAAGCATGCATGCATATGCCTACATAAATTCATAGAATAGCAGAAATGATAAATTCAAATAAGTTAATACTGCTTACCAAGAATGAATACAATCAAGATAAAATAATTCGTCCTATAGCTGCAAGAATGGAAAATACAAAACAAGTAAACACAAAAAGCAGCTCATAATCAACAAACGCAAGCCTAAAAGCTTAATTAATAAGAAAGTAAAAAAATGTTACAGGAGTGTAAATTCAAGCCTTACATCAAATCCCAAACCTAAGGCCGAAAACACTAAAAACGTAATTGAGCCCCATACTTTATAAAGAACTTAACTTGAGTTGATATAGTTTCATATCACGGAAAAGATAAGAATTCGAATTGTTCGCGCGTTGTTCGTTTCCTCCTCTAATTCTCAGCAGACAAACAGAGCATACAAATACAGTCATAAACAGCAAAACCGATTATTTCAAACACGATTTCCACACACACACACACATATACACAGCGCATGAATTGGAGAATTCGTACTAGTAGAGATTGCACTTGAGGCGACTGTCCCATTTGGAATAGGATCGGGGGACGGTGAACCTGGAGAAGAATTCAGAGAGTGGCCGAGGAGGCGATGACCAGTCGACCTCGCGGAGGGCCTCGATCAGATCTTCTCCGGTTACATTGCCCCAATCCATTTTGATCGATGATCGCCTGTGTGCTAAACCCTAGAAATTATGGTGGAGGCCAATAAGAAAACAAGAAGAAGAAAAAAAAAAAGGCACGACATTCTAGGGAAAATAGATGAAAGGGGGTGTGATTGCGTAATTATGTTTCGAGGCTATGGCTAGTGATGAAACATAAGGCCAAGAGTAAATGTGGGCTGATATATTTTGGACCAAGCTGTTAAAATATTGAGAAATTATTCATTGTAACGGTGACACCGCGTTATCACCGTTACATGGTGTTATTGTCAAATTAAAAGATAATAAATACTTAATGTGGATCTCATTAATCTTACGTATAACTAATTGGATACGATAGTTATGAAAATAGTGAGATTCACTTTTTCTATTTTTAGTTTTTTAATTTTATAATGCGTGACAATGATGGTAAGGTGTCACCGTTGTATTAAATATTTGTTCCAAAATATCTGAGAATAACAAACTCGTTAGACCAAACTTACTAACATTACACGAGATTTTTATATAAATAGGTGTATTCAACACGACATAATTAATAAATTAATTAGATGTAAATAAAGTCAATCAAAAAAATACATAAAAGGACTCTATTATATACATATTATACATAACATGACCTCGATATAACCCGATTTGTTAGGAGTGAATTAATAAACGAATCGTGAAGTACTTTTTGATACGAACCCACTAGAATCTAACCCAACACGATTAACAAATTTAATTGTTTACTTATTTATTGAGGAGAATAAAATAATAAATAAATGAAAGTGGTGTCTGAAATGTAAAATTGGACTCACCACGACACAATTAATAAATAATTTAGATATGAATGAAATTAATTAAAAAATATACAAAATAACTCTACTATATACCGATTATACGTGAATTAATAAACAAATCATGAAATATTTTTTTTATTCGTACCCGATTAAACTTAATACAAAATCGCTTTACCGTGGCACAATTAACAAACTTTTAATTTTTGCTTTATTTATTAAGGAGAATCAAAATAAATTTAAAAGAGAAGAGTTGCGTCTGAGCCCGGGTTCAAACCGGGGACCTCTAGTGTGTGAGACTAGATTGATAACCAACTACACCACCCAGACATCTGCTGAATTCGGTCAAATCTGTATTTTGTATAAAAATTTCTAAATTTGCAGAATGCTATCCATTTTAGCTTTAGTGCAATGGCTTGGATAACATTGTGCTGCGGAAATGCCTGAGCATTAATTTTGTGGTGATTTGTTGAGTCAATGACCAAAATTTCGTTTTTAGACCTCTAAAATATTTTTGTTTTCAAAGAAATTCAAACGAAATAGTGATGGAATTTAAATTTTAATATTTTAAGGTGTTTCGTAATGTTTTGAGATATTTTATAATGTTTTAATATATTTGTACAATTATTTCGAAATAATTCAAGGTATTTTAAGATATTTTGTTATATTTTAATCAATATTTTAAAAAAATAATTATTAAATTTCTTATTTTCTTCATTCTATTTTCGAAACGGGTCGAAACGTTTCTGAAACACGTCGAAATATTTTTATTTTCTATGTAATCAAAATAATGCACCGAAACAAAATTTTGATCATTAATTGTAATTTGCAAAATTAATAAAATAAAATAATTATAAGTTTGTGGTTCGGTACGTCCATAGAACACTTGACAGCTCTTCTACCCATCTCCCTTTAGCATCCTCAAGCCTTTTCTTGATTCCATCAAAGATTATTTTATTAGAGATCTCTGTTTGTCCATTACTCTGAGGGTACGCAAGGGTAGAATAATGATTCCAAATCCTGAAATGCTAATAGAAATTTTTGAAAGGATGACTATCAAACTGTGTGTCATTATCTGAAATGAGCGTATGTGGGATCCCAATTTTGGTAATGATGTATTTCTAGACAAATTTTCTTGTATCAGTATCTCTGATGTTGGCTAGGGGCTCGGCTTCCACCCACTTAGTGAAATAATCAGTTGCAACAAGAAGGTACTTCTTGTTACCTGGTGCCCGAGATAATGGTTCTATTATGTCTAGTCCCCATTGTGCAAATAGTCACGGGATTGTCAAGGAAAACAACTCTTGAGAAGGTTTTTTCGGTATCAGTGAGAATTTTTGACATTTTACGCACCGTCTTACGAACTATTGAGCGTCCTTTTGCATGTATGGCCACCAAAAATCTTAAGAGATGGCTCGGTGAGCCAAAGATCTCCTACCAGTGTGAGTTCCGCAGCTTGCTTCATAAATTTCAAATAAGAAGTCTGAGACTGTCTTTAGGTGCACTTTAAGTACGGGCCTCTAAACGAACGTCGATAAAGCTCATATTTTGGTGATAGCCAGAATCTAGCACCTTTCAAGTGTAGCTTATGGGCTTCTTTCTTATCTTTGGGCAACGTTTCATCCTTTAGGAAGTTAACTATCGGGTCCATCCAGCTCAGCTCGGCTTCAATGCTTAAGGCTTCGTTTGAATTGCTCGGCTGGATATTGGGCTCGGACTATAACTCGACAGTGAGAGTCCTTTCACTTTCAAGGTCAATGGCCGAGGCCAACGAAGCTAAAGCATTAGCGTTCGAGTTCTTTGCTCTTTTGACCTGCTGAATAAAGTATTCAGGTATCTTGCTCAGTTTTCTCTCTGCAATAGCACGATAGGCTATCATTCTTTCATCATTTGTTGCATACTCCCTTATTATATGATTTGTCATTAGTTATGAATCAGAGAATATTTGGAGCTTCATTGCCCCTAGCTCAGCTGCCAACCTTACTCTTGCTATCAAGGCTTCGTATTCCGTTTCGTTGTTTAAGGCTTCAAATCCGAGCCTGATGGCTTTCTCCAAAGTACAGCTATCTGGACTTACTAGAACAACGCCAATGCCAGCACCCTTATGATTTGAGGATCCATCGACAGATATGGTCCAACCGCCGCTGAGCTCTGACTCTCGGTTGTAAGTTGTTTCTTCACTTCACGCCGAGCTATCCGTAGGTTGAAATTCTACGATAAAATCTGCCACAACCTGGCCTTTTATCACCTTTCTTGGTTCGAATCGAACGTTGAACTCCCCTAGCTCCACCACCCAACTTAGCAACACGTCCTGACAAATTGGCTTTATGGAAAAGTGACTTCAGTGGTTGGTCAGTAAGTACTATGATTTGGTGGGCTTGGAAGTAATGTTTAAGCTTCCTAGTCGAGTTAATCAGTGCTAGGACAAGTTTTTCCAATGGAGTATACCTCAATTCTGCATCTAAGAATATCTTACTCACATAGAAGATGGGTTTCAATTTTTCACAATCACTCCTCATCATGCCCCACTTACAGTGTGCTCTGATATAGCCAGATAAAGGTAAAGTCCTTCCTCGGGTGTCGAGGTCAATAGAATCGATGGAGATGCTAAGTATGCCTTCAGATTTGTAAACGCTTCTTCACATTCTTGACTATAGAATGCTTCCTTCTTTCCTTTGATTGATTGAAAGAAGGGTCTGCATTTATCAGATGCGTGGGATATGAATCTCCCGAGTGCTACTGACATTCCCGTTAGCCTTTGCACCTCTTTTACAGTCCAAGGGGATTGCAGTTCAGCAATGACCTTCACTTGCTCGAGATTCACCTCTATTCCTTGGTGAGTAACTANGACATTCCCGTTAGCCTCTGCACCTCTTTTATAGTCCAAGGGGATTGCAGTTCAGCAATGACCTTCACTTGCTCGAGATTCACCTCTATTCCTCGGTGAGTAACCAGAAATCCCAAGAATTTTCCCGAGCCGACCCCAAATGCGTATTTTGAAGCGTTTAATTTCATATTGTAAGTCCGTAGAACATCAAATGTGCTCTTGAGATTAGCACAGTGATTTGCAGCCTTCCGACTCTTTACTACCATGTCATCAATATAAACTTCTATTGTATTGCCTATTATATGTGAAAATATTTTATTCACCAACCTCTGATATGTTGCCCCAGCATTCTTCAATCCGAATGACATTACTTTGTAACAGTACGTTCCATTTGGTGTTATGAAGGTAGTCTTTTCTTGATCTTCCTTTGCCAGGGGGATCTGATGATATCCCTTGTAGGCATCCAAGAAGCTCATTTGCTCGTGTCCAGTAGTGACATCTACCAACTAATCTATCTTCGACAAGGGGAAGCTATCCTTTGGACATGCTTTGTTTAGGTTGGTGAAGTCAACACAGACCCTCCATTTTTTATTTTTCTTCTTTACTACAACAGTGTTTGACAGCCAGGTCGGGTACTGTACTTCCTTTATTGTTCGGGACTCCAATAGACGTACTACTTCCTCCTTCACTACCTTTTGATGTTGAGGCGCCGACCTCCTTAGTTTTTGCTTGATTGGCTTGAAGCACGTGTCGATGTTCAACTGATGACATGTTACTTCGGACAGCACGCAGGGCATATCAGTAATGGTCCATGCAAAAACGTCGGCATATTCTCGTAGAAGAGTGACGAGCTCGATTTTCTGTTCGGCACTAAGAGTAGTCCCGAATAAAAAGTATTTTTCGTGATCCCCATTCTTGTCTAAAGGCACTTTAGTCAAGTCTTTAATTATTCGGTCTGTAACTTCCTTTTCGGCTCCTGAAGGTACTTTAGGGCCTTCCTCGACAGCTTGGTCGGTTGGTTTAACCGAGCTATAAAAAGTTAATTGCTATTTCGTCTCCTCAGACATTGAGTTCTTCTCGCGAGCTTCAACCTCTGCTTTGAGTTTGAACGGGGCTAACAAACAAGTTCTGACATTGACTTGGTATCCTCGGATATTTACTACTCCTTCAGCTGAAGGGAATCTCAACATCTGATGGTACGTTGAGGGTATCGCCTTCATTGTGTGTAGCCAAGACCGCCCTATATCACGTTATATGCCGAGACTGTATCCACTACTAAGAACTCGGTCATGACACAAATTGGTCCTGCCTTTACAGGTAATGTGATCTTCCCCCTAGTAAGAACTGTTTTGCCACTAAAGCCAATAAGTGGTGTATTTGAAGGCTTAAGATCTTCCTTCTTAAGACCAAGTTGCTCAAATAGATTTGAATACATGATTTCTGATGAACTCCTCGGATCAATCATNAAGCCAATAAGTGGTGTATTTGAAGGCTTAAGATCTTCCTTCTTAAGACCAAGTTGCTCAAATAGATTTGAATACATGATTTCTGATGAACTCCTCGGATCAATCATCACTTTTTTTACATTAAAATTCGCAATCCAAAGCGTAACGATTAGGGCATCGTTGTGCGGTTGGTGAACTCTGACCAAGTCCCTGGATTGTATCCTTCAACCTTATTCATAGTTTCCCAATAACGATGAGCGTACTCTCGCAAGCTTTTGTTATTCTTCTTCTTTAGCGTCAGTAGTGCTCCAACATCCTTCGGCTGCTTACTGCTCATTATGAATCGAGCTGTGAACTGCTCAGCTAACTGAGACCACCCATTGATCATTCCCTTCGGTAGGCTGTCAAACCACTTCTGGCTGACTCCCCAAGACTGCTAGAGAAGATAGTGCAGAGTAGGGGCTCATTTTTTCAATGAATGGTCATCAGCTGTCTGTAATGTCTGATGTGCGAAGCTAGGTCGGTCTTCCCGTCATATAGTTTGAAGTTCGGGATGGTGAATTTGCTCTAAAATTCGTCCCTTTTTGATCCAAACTGTAAATGTAGATGACTTCGAACCGTCTCCATATTCTCCTGTCGCTCTTCTGGCTAGGTCCCTAGCTGACCTCTGTTCTGGTCTCCTCAAGCGATTGTTGAGTTCCTCAGTAATATAGTGTTCGCAACCTCCTCCTAAACCCGAGGTTTTTTCTGTTGATGACGATTTTCATTGTTGCCTCTGATTCTGTCAGGCTTCCTTTCAAGACTTTCCCAACGTTTTTCCCTCACACGTTTCTCTTTCCTGGTCATCTCTTTTATCTTGATTTTCAGCTCTTCGTTTTCTTTGATCAGATTTTTCTCCCTGGCATAAGATTTCTTGAACAACTTATCATGAGCATTGACTCTATCCTGCAGGGACTGAACCAACTTTGCCAAGGAGTAGTTTTCTCCCTCGGCATGAAGGGATTCACTACAATCTTTAATTTGATGGTTCTGATTCTTTGAGGGCCTGAAACTTGCATAGGACATCTCTTCGCCTTCATGGGATCTAGACAAGCTTTTTCTTGCCTGCAACCGCACGTTGTTGTCAGGAAGGATGGATGCAGGATCAGAATCTCCCAAGGCAAAACTGTCTCTAGGCGATCCAATTGCGCTTCTGAGTTTTGACATTATAGCTTTTTGTTGTGAAAGATGAAAATCTTTCCACAGACAACGCTAAATGTAAAAGGCAAAAAATTGAGAATACCTCCTACAGAAATTGAAAAATTGATGTGTTTCTGAACTCGATCTCCCAGTCTTCTCTCGCCTATAAAACGAACAAATTGCCCAAGATCGAAGTGCTTCGATCAAAGGCACTCTAATGCTTAAGTCAGTAAAGATACTAGAACGAATGGAAGAAGACTAAGAGAGTTCAGCGTACCTTTCACCTTAAATTCCTCTGTTTTTTATAGATGGTTATCCCCTTAGGGTTTCCGTGATTTTTAATTCAAGGTGATACACCTTCCTTCAATTCAGTGATTCAGTTTGGGAAGTTGTTGATATTTCTCTAACAATTTCTCCTGGTATTTACAATTTTGTTGATTCATTTATTCAATTACCTAAGATATAGACAAATCTTTATCTTTTCATCTATCATTTTGAACAACTCGAACACATTGAATCGTCGAGCACATTTGAGATTTGCCGAACAGTTTTAGGAATTTGGTTTGGCACAAACCATTCTCTTCAATCGTCTTCTCGAACACTTTAATAAATTCGGCTTGGTACAAACCGAGTTCTTTCCTTGCTTAGCTGAAAAGATTGATGAGCTCGGTCATAAAGAGAACTGAACTCTTTCTTTCTTTGCTGAACCTATCGATCAACACGGTTCGGTTTATAAGGCTGTGTGAATGATTTCTCCGTCACGTGACCTGTCTTGTCAATTTCACATAAATTTCATTTAATGTCATTATACGTGTAATAATGGGGGCTAGCCCCTTCACTCAGATCGTGTTTATTTTTCTATTTGTTTGCATACCAAAGGATGGTGAGGTATCCCTCTCTGTAATTGGTTCGATTACGTCCGGCCCGAGTAATAAACACGCTTTCAGAAAAAGCGTACAAAACGTGTTTAAGAAACACGCTTTTCATACTGCCCAATTTTTATTTATTTTTTTAAAAAACGGGATTGCTGAATTTTTCGAACTTATTGAACCCCTTTTAAATAGCGCCATAATTTACCTAGTTTAAGAGACTGTATTTTGGTAAATTTATTTATAAATTGCTGTATTTCGGTGATTAACTCAAACACACAGAGTCGCACAGTAGCTTCCGAGAAGATAAACACGATCAAACCTTCGATCTTATCTCCAATCTCCATAATTCAACAGAACCAAATTTCATCATCAAGATTAAACACCGCCTTCCATTAATATGGCAATCATGCCCTATCCGTACACATCTCTCAAATCATCTTCCTCAAAAATTACTCAATTATTGTTGTTTTATTTACCGGAGTTGAATCCTTTTAGGGTTTGCGAACTCCAAGTGTTTGGTTTGTGATTCGAAATTGGGGCGGATTTGGCTTTGTTATGGCTCAATCTGTGAACAAAGAAAGGTTGGTGGTTGGGGACTATGTGGTGGGGAAACAAATCGGAGCAGGTTCGTTCTCGACGGTGTGGCACGCGAGGCATGGAGTGGATGGCACGGAAGTGGCGATCAAAGAGATGGACATGACGGAGATGAACAAGAGATTGCAGGAGAGTCTCATGTCGGAGATTCATATATTGAGGCAGATTAATCACCCTAATATCATCCGACTGCACGATATGATCGAGGTCGGTATAAAAGGTTTTTGGATTTGTATTCCATTTTTTTTATTAAAAAATCCATACATACAGATCCTTGTATAGGTGTTTGTGCCTAATAGTTTTAGATAATAATGTTCTGTTTGGTTAGTGAGACAGAAAGGGGAAAACTTCTGTTTCGTCCTTTGAAGTTGTTGTAATGTAACCCAAGCGGTAATTCAAGTGGTAACACGAGGGGACGTCAACTCAGACGTTCCGACTTCAAATCTCCAAATCTCGGCAACTCCTTGGGGTGGGGTCCGACCATGCTGAGATTTTTCTTAGGACTCCCTCACAGTTGAACCAAAAAAGAAAAAAAAGAAAAGGTTGTTGTAATGTAAAATTAATGAGGTATAGCAAGGAATATTTAAATTAATCCTGTTTGGTTGCTCACACAACTGGAAAAGAGGGGTGAACAAGAAAGTCTGGTCTTATGGGCATTAAGAAGGAACTGGGAAGACATTTCAGTTATATGTTTGGCTCGACTACATGTATTTTGTTTCTCCATAGTGCTCATTTAGGAAAAGAGAGCGAAACAAATGAAAAATCTAACATTGGATGCCAAGATATGGAGAATGCATCGACTATGCCCATGGGAGGAGCTAGCTTAGGCCCCCTGAATTTTTTTTTTCAAATATTACCTATATAAAAATTTAGACATTTTTATTTTATTTTATTTTATTTGAATTTGCCCACCGGTCCCACCCTATATTATTTTTTGTCATATTAATTGGTATAAATATCTAAATGACTATAAATTTTCGAACATGCTTCAAATACGTAATGGATGTATTCAAATAAATTTTGGACATATTGAGGTTATTTTATAATTTTCAGAAAAAATTATGAAGTTATTTTAATTTTTTTTGTAAAAATTAGGATCATTATGAAATAAATTACAGGGTCATTTTATAGGTCTATAATGGAATTAAGTGTCACAACTTAAAATTACAAAATCATTTGGAACAAATAATTATGTTTAGTTGACAAAATTATTCTAATTAGACTCAAATGAGGGACCGATATAGAAGGGAGAAAAAGTGATTAGTCGATTATTTTGTGATCCTCTGGTAACTATTCTATTGTCTAGGGAGATGCAACTGACCTTTATTTGAGGCCCCGATAATCAACGACAATACTACGATACTATATCTCTCTCTTGACACTTTTTAACCAACTTAACAATTATATTAATGATGTCTATTCTAACATTAAGTTTTTAAATCTAAAAAGGAATAGTGGTCTTACTCAAAGAAATTATTAATACTACAAAAGATATAATATATCTATTGACTTATTTACTTTTAACTTTGTGATTAATTTTATCGGCTGCATCTGTCACTGTGGAGAGATAGCCACTTGGTTGCATAAACTAATGAGTGATAAATAGGTAATTAATAATGTGAATTAGTACAAAATAAAGATATATAATTAAGTTAACATGCAACGCTTTTCAAAAATGTAAAAATGGACGGAGTCAAATGTAAATGATTTTAATTAGCTTTATTTTTTTTTATGAATAATTGTAAATAGACTTTTTTTTGTACTGTTTTTTTCTTTGCAGAAACGATTTATAATGGTTTGTGTTCCTTTTATGTTTAGCGAATTTCTTAAGTATTAAATATAAGATAAATAACAAACTTATCATCGTAATTTTATTGATTATAAAAAAAAATTAAGTGCCCACCCAAGGAAGATTTTCTGTCTTTGCCCTTGAATTATGCCGATAAGTTGTTTTAAGTCACCTTGAGCAACTTGGTTCTGAATCAATGATATTTGTTCTCCAGATTCGGGTACTCTATTGTAGCTGTGATATAGGTGACCTTATTGCTGTTGGGATTGTTGCTTATATTGTACTATTTTTGTTTGCAAATTTGGGCCCACTTCAAGAAACAAATTAGGTGTTCTTTCCTGTTTTATTATGTGGTTTTGTTTGTCTTAAGGTTTTTTTGATGGGAATTGTTTGTCTTAAGTTAAATCTCGTGTGCATAACATTTAGGAAGCTGGAAAGATATACATTGTATTAGAGTACTGCCAAGGGGGTGATCTTTCATTATATATTCGACAACACCAAGGAAGAATCCTTGAAATCACTGCAAAGCACTTTATGCAGCAGCTAGGTATCTAAGTGTATTTTTTCCAATTATCTTTTAATTTTTTATTTGCCATTGTGACTTTCACAAGCTGGTGTAATTTATAGGGGCTGGTCTCCAGTTCCTTCGTGCCAATAACATCATACATCGAGATCTAAAGCCACAGGTGTGCCATAATCTTCTAGTGTTGATACTTCGCTTTTTGACTTGTATTGGTAGCTGTTATTTCTGATTATATGTGTACGGGTAAATTCTGTGTGTGTGTGTGTGGGTGAATTATCGTATCAAGCTATATGGGATTATATTTCTCTAGGCAAGGAGTAAATAACAAGCAAGCTAAACAAGTCAACAGTATTGTTCAATTCGACAAAAATTACATGTGCAAAGCAGACCAGTACTTCTTTTTAGCTAAATTCAACAAATAGTTTTGGTTTTATGGAGAGAATATGCATCCGATTGTTTCACTTCTTCAAAGAATGATTGGGACTTTTTTGATGTGAAAGGAAATTGGCAAATTTTTTTTATATATTTCCTTTTGTAATGTATTTCATTTCTGAAACAGAACCTTCTTCTATCCACAAAGGACGACAGACCTGTGCTAAAGATTGCCGATTTTGGATTTGCTAGGTGAATCATAATTATTGTCATCTACTACTTCCAGCTCATATGATTATCTTTTAAAGATTTTTCTGGGATGCATTTGTATCTCTCTTCTTTGGTTATACTTGTCTTGTTCTCTCTCTCTTTCTCTCACTAATGCACACAAACACAAACACACAAGTTCTTTCTATGTAATTTCTTCTCCTATTTTGAACCAGTCGATCTTTCGTGCTAGTAATTCTTTTGAATTTTGCACATAAAACCATTCATCTGGGGGTGCCTCTCATGTTAAGACTTTTAAAAGTACTTATTTTGTTTAATAATTTAGGCGATATTGATGTTTTATAGGGAAATGATTCTATATTTGCTTTAGAAGTTTTCAAAATTTCAAGTGCATGATCATGGTTGTTTAATTCTTTGGCCATGGGTTGCCTCATGTTATGTCTGTCCTTTTTTCCTTAACACAGTAAAGTACTAACGTGATCCTGGGGCTTAAGCTGAAACCTTATTTATTTTTTAAAAATAGAGTAAGCAATGAAACTGAGCGTGGCCTAAAAGCATATGCCCAATCAGTTGCCCACCTAGTTGTTTTCCTTTTCCTCTTGGATAAATAATGTAATAGTTTGTGTTTGAGTGTGTATCGCTTTGGTTAAAACCATGTATTTGCCCTGGCATACTTACCATAGTATGCAGTGATCAACTTTTCTGAATAAAATATTGCACCAACGTTGACTTTCCCAAAAATTCTCAACTTCTAAGGCCTGTTTCTGGATTTTTTTTCTTCATGCATGTGTAAAATGCATTCCAATTCCTTTTCTTTTCTTTCTTTTGTAGGACTCAGTGGATGAGTATAGTTTTTTGTTGTCTTCTAAAGTTCCACTTAAAGCTAGCATTTTAGTTTTTATTGAAGAAATTACGTTTTCTTCTTGCAGATCTCTGCAACCTAGAGGTCTTGCAGAAACAATATGCGGTTCACCGTTCTACATGGCTCCAGAGATGTTGCAACTTCAGAAGTATGATGCAAAGGTGGCATTTACTTTTCACTTATGCAAGCATTCTTCCATCGTCACATAACCTTCCCGTATTAACCTTGAGTTGAAATAGCAGGCAGATCTCTGGAGTGTTGGCGCCATTCTATTTCAGCTTGTTACTGGGAAAACCCCATTTACTGGAGTTAATGAAATACAGGTTTGTTAATCTTTACTAGGTCACCTATTGTAGCCATAGTTATGTCTATTGTATTAGACTGGTAACATCTCATGCCTCAAGCTTAGTGTTTAACTTTTTAAGTTGAATTACATTTGCAACTTGTCATGCCTTCTTGCCTTAATCCAAGCTTTTCAACTCATGTTTCATGCAGTTGCTTCAGAACATTGTGAAGTCAACTGAATTGCATTTTCCGCCTGATAAAAGAGATTTGAGTGCAGGCTGCATTGATTTGTGCCAAAAATTGCTGCGATGTAATCCAGGTACTCCCCTGTTCAAAAAAATAAAAATCCAGGGACTCCATAGAACATATCTTGACGGTGGCATAATACATACAAGAGCACAGAGGATCATGAGTGTAATTAGTTAAAGTGAAATATTATTTCATAAAGTGAATATCTCAATTATATTGGTGACCTTTCATTCCATAGAGCAATTTACACTATATAGTTCATAAATTGATGATGTACTATTGAATGACATGGTGACGTGCATGCGATAGCTACAGGCTTCAACAACCCGGGTTGACAGTGTTATTAAATTGCTGTGAGAATTACCAATGTAGCTTAATTAGGAAATGCTAAGAATTCCCAATTTTAAAAGCATATTGTAAGAATAGGCAAAACACATGGATTTGCTGGATAAATGAATTTGTTTTGCCTGAAACAATCTTTACGTAAAGTATATTTCCATTGTTTTGAATACGTGTGCATCAATTATAGTTGGTGACACTCTGTTCATCCCAACAGACATCTAGCTACTGGGACATCACTTTGTGGATGTGGTGTTACAATGGGGTTGTCATTGCCTCTTTGTGATATTTCTTGCCAGAAAGCTGAGAAAAATAAGTGAAGCAGTGCTAGAAAGCAGGAGATGGTTTTATGTTTCAATGGTTTCACTAATTTGTGATCCTATAATTTTGAATTAAATCAAGACTGTAATGCTATAATATTTCTGTATGTTCTTTCACAGTGGAAAGGTTGACGTTTGCAGAGTTCTTTAACCATCCATTTCTTTCTCAAACGCAACCAGATGCATCCTCGAGGTAGGTAAACCAGGAGTTAAATTATACTTCTCTTAATCTTGACTTAAAAAATTTCCCATCTTTCATGCTAAAAGATGGAATTCACTGTGGTATGCAGGAACTGGAGATCATCGAGAATAATGGTTCCTCTTCCAGGAGGCAAGCCTTTGAGGAACACAGATGAAAGTTCTCAAGAAGATTGTTTACCTTTCCGTCTGGATGATGATTCCAGTAGCCCTGATGGGAGTCCATCCTTTATTAGGAGATCCCCTTTGGGATCTACTTGTGCTAACACTAAAAATAAGACAGATCATACTTCCAAGTTTAGTAGTGTCACTCATAACCCACTAAATACAGGTTTTAGAATTGACAGCTGTCGACCTTCAGAAGGAAATATGAAAGAATCTTCAAAATCCATGGACCATAGACCAGTAAATACACCTTCAAATGGTACTTTGTTTATTCAGTGTTCCTACTTCTCTAATATTTTTAATCCATACTCCGATTTGCTAACCGTATTCCACTTTACAATTTTATTTTCATGGATTATACAGTTATCGAGTCAATGGAGTTTATTGAGCGGGATTATGTTTTTGTATCTGGTCCCCCAATGGATGTGTCTATTTCAGCAAGTGGTTCTAAACCAAGCCATTTGCTATCAAAATCAGGGAGTCCCCCATTAGCATCTGGGAACATCAACTCCACATCAAGTTCCCCAATGCAGATCATTGGTGCAGCAACCAGTAATATTGGTTGTGTTGGAAGCTTTGAAAGGCAAAGCTTTGTTCCTTTTGGGACTTCACCGGGATCTGTCAATGCATGGGACGTTTTGGAGCAGCGATCTACTGATTGCCTGAGAAGGATTAGGTCATTGCAACAATGTGCATCTGCCATCACAGAACTAGTGAAAGAGAAGGTAACTCATAGTACTGCCCCAATGCACTGAAAAACTTGCCCGAGCTCTGCTGAGAAGAGGAAAAATGCAGTCTGTGGGGTCTCCAGAGGGATGATATAGGGTCCCTGCATCTGGGAGCAACTTTCCCTAGTCATCACCGCCCCTTCCCAATAGAGCCAATACAACATTTTAGATATATTTTGTTATTTTGGTGAAAGCAGAGCTAGTTTCGTCCATTGTGTGGACTTCACCAGCTCAAATTTTTAATCTTTTCTCCAGCAGCGTGCATATTTACAACTATCCATTTTATCCAGTGACGGATTTGCCTAGAAACTAACACTATCTTTGGTAGTAGATATGCTAGGCATCCATTGAATATTCCATAACATTGGCTCTACTTGCAGCCTCCTTCAGGTCTCCCATCCCGTTCATCAATACATAGGGCTTTGTATTTCATCAATTTGCACATAATTGAGTTATACCAAAGGACGCTGTATTTGTCATAGCACGCCGGAGAAGACATCTGAGGTTGTCTGGTGTATCTAGGGTTCAATTATTACTGTATACCCATAAAAATAATGTGTTTAGACTCTTTTACTTGCATGCCTTACAGTTCTTTTAATGTTCCCTGCTGATACCTTTATTTTGTTTTTTATGTAGTATGTGTCTGCTAATGTTTACATATTGCATGATTTGTGTAAAAGATTGAGGCAGAAAGGCAACTTGATGCATTCTCAATTCAGCTTGTAATTCTCGCAATATTGAAGCAAGCACTGCGTATTTGTCATGCACAAGCTGCATCAGCCATTGAAGGTTGTCCATCCCAAGAAGTTGCGAGATTGAGGGAGGTCACAAGCAAGGAGCATGTCAGTCCTAATATCCAAGAACATCTTGATACTGCTACTCAAGGGCCACATGATGTATTGTCTCAGATGAAGAGGGCATTTATTTGTGAAGTGGTAAATGCTGAAGAACTTGTGCAGGTTATAGAGCCTGGTACGGCTTCCATATCATGAATTCATGATGTTACCTGCTGATGTTAAAAGGCTTCTCTGCCTTTTCATTTGTCTTGTTGACAATAAAATGCTGATGTTGACATCATTTCGTAGTAGTGTGGCCTGTTGAATTGTGTTAGTCTTTTCTCATTTGTCCTTACCATCCTTTGATGTCATTCATTTAGCTTCTACTTTTTGTTTGTTGTTCTGTAAATAATATTCTTAATTTTTAACTGTCATATTTAGTTTCTAGGGTGTTGTAAGATTGAAATGCATTATTCATCCAAAATAAGAAGACCAAATAACAGAGAGAAATAGAATTGTATTCCATCAATTGTATATTTTCTTAACAAAGAAGAAAAATTTTTTGTTTGTATAAACTAGGATTCGGGATTTGTGAGCTTGATGTTCAAGAGCGATGCCAGCCAGTGAGGTCTTAAGCTTAGCCCATATAATAACATGCATGATAGCTTTAATTCTAGGAAATATGGAGTTTTATCATGCATGTGTATCCTTGAACCACACATTTAAGCATGTTCAGCTAGGCTACCGCTCATATGGTTTGATTCTATCCAGGATCAAGATATTTATACCTTTGTTTATCTTGATACAGGAAATATAGAGATGCCAGATGCAATGGAGACAATATTTGAATCTGCCCTTGCTCTGGGCATAAGTGGGGCTGTAAGTATATATCTGTTTTCTTCATGTGAATCCGTGACATGCATTTTACATGTTTCCCCTCGTTATAGTACATCATCACCTAATTGCTATAAGATGATATTCATGCTTTGGATTATGCAAAGTAATAAGGATAACGGTGGCATCTTGCTTATTACTTTGACCTCATCTTCATCATCTGCATGGTTAGAAAATGTAATCTATGTAGATGAGGTATTCCTTTAAAGGGTACAGGTGGCTGGCGAAGAGATTCCATTCGCTTCAACCTCTTCAGAGAATATCTTCTATGCTATCATATTTCTTTCAACTTTCACCATTCTTTCTCTCCCTCCCTCTCCATCTACATAATATCTTCTATAAAGTTGAGATTTTTTTCACTGGATTGGTTGTTTTTGGTGTTTTGTGTGTGAAAAGAGAAGAAGAAGAAAAGGGGGGGGGGGGGGGTTAAAGAGGGCTGGCAAGTGCAAATACCTACTTACTTTCACCATAGACCTTGGGTAGATACAACTCGGATACAAGACCCTGGAAAAGAAACTTCGGGAAAACAATTGTCTACGTCTCACATTTGTTTTTCAATTAATGCACCATATAGACCTTGGGTAGATACAACTTGGATACAAGACCCTGAAAAAGAAACTTCAGGAAAACAATTGTCTACGTCTCACATTTGTTTTTCAATTAATGCTCCTTTGACATGTTTCAGTATGGGCATTCTTGATCAACATATCAAACACTGTTTTGAAAACAAGCAGAAATGAGATTGGAAAATGGAATGCATGAAACAAATGCTTCGGTGGGCTTCCATGAATAGCGAGAAATTATAAATTCTTTTCTTCTTTACCACTGAGGCTTCATTGGCTTGCCCAAGAGAATGGGTGCAAGAAACTAAAGATTTTTGACATTACTTGCTCTTAGCTTAGCATTTGAAGTGTATTTTTTTTATTGTCAAGTTTTTTTTCTTGTTACCAACCGATCAAAATTGCAACAAGTTGCTAAATCTACCTAACTTGTGCGAGAGAGGTTTTGGTGGTGGGGGGAAGGGGGGAAGAAAACCCTATTGAAGTTTTTGCATGCAATCACTCTCCAGACAATGAGGACACTGTCCGAGACTTAAATAGATGCATATTCTTTTCGATAGCAGTTCAATTGGGTGAAAAATCGCAAATGTTCTCAAAGTAAAATGACTATTCATTGACATTATCTTCTTGTGTACTTTTGGCAGGTTGACGAGTGCATGGGCAATACTGAAAATGCTGCGGTATTTTATTCAAAGGCAGTGCGATTATTAGTATTCCTCCTTGTGGAAGCGCCGTCTCTCATTCTTAATCCTCCATTCTCCCTCACAAACTCAGACCGTTACAGGATCCAGATTTACATTGATGCCCTTAATAGCCGGCAAAGCATTTCAAGGTCTCAAAAAATGGCTCCTCTCAAATGCAAGGATCAACAATGCCCCCCTTAAATTCAAGGGCTACTCTAATATTTTCTATTAATATGAAATGTTCACTCAGTAAAATTCTTTATTTGTACAGCTATTATTTGAGTGACTAGGGGTTGTTGGAGGAATTGACCTTTATGTGGGCTGGAGGTTAAATGTTTATATAGTCATTTCTGTAATCTGAATTTTACCAATTTCAAAAAGAAAATGCATGCTGTGAGCCTGTGATATAGAGAATGACAATATTATAATTTCTGTTCCAATTTGTGTGCTTTTTTTGACCCAGTCTCTATATGATAGTTTTCCATTCACAATCCCTCTCTTTTCTAGGAAGAGGATATTTGTGTGGAAGCATAGAAATATTGGTACAATTTTTTTTCTTTGACTGTTACTTTCTGTACCATGTTCTATTGTATTGTTGTGTGGCCAATGTTAAAGTAGAATATTTAGATTACAATATTTCAAAATTCTAAGGTATCGGAAAGTTCTATGTTTTATGTTCTAATTACTTGTACTTGCTATCAACTATAATGATGTGGGTCTTGGATTTCTTGGACTGCAGCTTTTAGTTTTTGTAAGGCTAGAAAACTATCTGTAGGCAGCCCTACCTCATGTATGGATTGCTGTAAGTTGGTGAAATCGAGCTCTTGTTGTTTGTCCACTTTTTTTCTTCCTTTTTTTTTTTTTTTTTTTGGGGGGGGGGGGGGGGGGAGGGGTAATGAAGAAATTGCATATCATCTACTTTGCTAATGTCTACTTGGTTGCTGTATATCTCTTCTCACCATATTCTGTTTCTACACATCAGCAGATTATTCCTTTTCATATAAATATTTCTGCTTCTTTGGTGGCTGTAACTTTGTGCTTATGTGAAGGGGGTTGCCATGTCATTTTGAAGAACTCAGAGGTGAGAGTGCAGTTTACCCGAATGTCTATTGTTTATGGGGTTATAGTCCTGCTATGTGTTACCTGGACTTGAGTCCATCTTACCTTGGTTTTCCACTGTCTTTTAAGTGTATCTGGTCATTGCGAGGAAACATATTTGAATAAGTTTTGACTCTTAATTTTTTGTCTCTTCTGTGATGATATGTTTCCTATGCCAATTTGCAGGTTGTTTCAGTCTCTTCCAACACCCAATATCAGATCATAAATGGTTTGGGGCACTTGGTAGAAAGATCTCCATTGGCAAAGCAAGTTCCACCAGTTGCCATGGCTTTTACAGTTGGTGCGCGATTTGCCAATAATATCTACGGTGGGATGCAGTTTGTGGACTGGGCCAGCTGAAGTTAGTGGTGAATCTTAGGTGGGCCAACCTGAGTTCAACAAAAAAAAAAGAAAAGAAATAAGACTTGGGTTGAAGTTTTTAAATTTTGGGTTGGGTGTGGGTTTAAAAACTGCAATCTGAAATTCGTATAACACTCGGATTAATTAAGGCCTCGGGTTATCAAGGTCAACCTGAGCTCGACAAATTAAAAAATCAGTAATTCTATGTTGGCCAAAATTAAGGACCCAATAAAGAGCCTAAATGACATAACAATTACTGATATGACAAGATTAATTGTCATGTCAACAAAATCTTTTTGTCTTTTCTAAATCAAGATAGATGGGGCAAAATCTTTTTGTCTTTTTCGCTTCCCTGACACGCACAGACAAAAAAACACAGAGAAAGTAAATGACATGACAATTAATCTTGTCATATCACCAACTACCGGCCATTTGAGCTTTTTATTTTATCCCTAATTTTGGTTAGTACAGCATTAGTGTTAAAAATATATATATATATAGCACTAAGCCAGTAGCCACTAGATTTCCCATCAGATCTCATCTCTATTCTCTCTCGTTCTCAGCCTCCCTCTCACTATCTGCAGAGATCACAATGCCGAAGACCACAACGTCAAAGACCACAACGACCACTATGCGAAGATCACTGCGCCTCTCTCTCAGATCTGCAGTGGTGGCAATGGGCAGGTGGTTGTGGTGAGTAGTGGTCGTGGTTGTGGTGGCAGTGGACGATGGCAGTGGTGGCGGTGGGCAGTAACTGTGGTGGTGTCTTGGACTTACGGTTTAATTTGATAATTTCTGTGTGTTGTGTTTCTGTGTAATTTGTAACATGAAATTAGTTTGAATTAAGAAATTTGAAGTCTAACCTGTGCCCGTCCGAATTCAATGTGAGTAGTATTCGAGTTGAGTTCGGATTCGGNATGGGCAGGTGGTTGTGGTGAGTAGTGGTCGTGGTTGTGGTGGCAGTGGACGATGGCTGTGGTGGCGGTGGGCAGTAACTGTGGTGGTGTCTTGGACTTACGGTTTAATTTGATAATTTATGTGTGTTGTGTTTCTGTGTAATTTGTAACATGAAATTAGTTTGAATTAAGAAATTTGAAGTCTAACCTGTGCCCGTCTGAATTCAATGTGAGTAGTATTCAAGTTGAGTTCGGATTCGAGTTAGCGTTGAAGATTATGTGCGTAGGAAGAATTAGGGTTGACCCTTCAACCTACCTGAGTTGCACCCCTAGGTGGAGTCGCGTGCAATAAATGTACTTTTTTTTTGGTATTTAAATGAAGCATTCTCCTTTGATTTTCTAAAACACCTACCCTTTTTAATCATTCAAAGGTCCCATTTGATAATAGTGCATTGTGTACAACTTCCAGTTGAGCGTGGCCATTAAGCTTGCTTTTTGACCAGCAAACTGGCCCTTTCCTTGTTCCATGACTGGTTTGAATTTGATGGCACTGCCACCACAAGCCAGATTCGAAACTTTCAGCCATAAGCTTTTCATAGTCTTTGAATAGTCCTCTTCTCCAAAAGAACCATTCACGTGGGGGCCATTTCCAACCAATAGGGAGCTATCAACCAAAAAGGTGTCAAGAATCATATAAAATTTGCCACTTTTTTGGAAAGGGTTATGTTGGCATAGAATATCACATAACACACAATGGGTTTTTGATATACTTCTTGAAAAATTTACAGTAAGCCGAATCGTTAGTATTTGTTACGAGCCCTATGATGCCCAACCTAGACTTTCCCAAGTTTATTTATACACTCAAATCTTTTACTAGGTTGAAGAAACAACTACCAGAGTGAGTCTCTTATTAAATTTTCACGCTCACAAATCCAATGATATATGGTGTTAACCCAAAGAAAGTGTAAGGAGGAATAAAGAATATATATAAATGGAGGTAACCACCAAGTGACCTTGAAGCAAGTAATCACCCAATCATGAGGTACCATGAACTCCTCCACTTAGGAGGCTGATTTGTTCTTGGATCTATTTGTGTTGTCCATGTGAGTGGATCTTGATCAGGGTTCGTTAAGAAGTTATAATCACAGATTGACATGTATCAGCAGCACCTTAAAAATAAAATGTTATGGCAATGCATTTTGCAAGAATGTCTCAAAAGACTCCCTGGTTTCAATTGCACAACAACCATGATTTGCCACCTTATGTGATAATGATGCAAGTGAATAACATCATAGGAGCACCCGTCTAATGGTTAGCTATATCCGTTTAGAATCGTTCTTTGACTCTTATATGGTTATCAAGTAGAGTTCGATTCATGAGAGTAACACGGTTTGTTAATTAGCTTTGATAATGTTCTGGTGATAAGTTATCCTTCTAAAATAATAGTTCTGACTCAAATCAAACATTCTACAATAGAGACTCTTGTGATCATATCTAGGTGGGTTATTACCTACTAATTGTCCTTCTCCCTTTTTAACTATTCAAAAACAAAAAATCACGTGTTCTTTAAACGACCAAGTCAATCGAGCTTGGTTTGATTTTACCTCATTCATATTACAAAATGAATTGAATATGATGAAAATCTTGTCAGCACCAATTACTACGATGTGTCTACATCCTTCAAACAAAAGTTTGAACTTTGAGGTAAAGATTCATAGTAGAGAATAGCTGACGAAAGAGGGTCATACTAGAAATTGTGATAAAGTTTGATAGATCGTGGTTATTGCCTCCCCACTCATGATTTCTAGTGTTGCTTAAAGTGCAACAAAATTCTGAATCAAACTCTGCATTTTAACACTGCTTGGTTAGTCTCATATACTTCTGTAATATCTGATATATCTTGTTCTAAAGCGAAGCACCCACTAAAGATTCTCATGAAAATACTTTTTTTTTTTTCAGACTATCAGAATATTTGAGTCAGTTTACGCACATTATAATTAATTCTTTTTTCGATCTAATCAAAAATATACTATCCATGTCGAACTAGAGTATTCACGAAGGAAAGACAAAAAGAATACTACCATTTTCTCTTTATGATAGGGCATTCAACAAATAAAGAAAAGGGGAGAGACAAAAAAAAAAGTGTATATCATGAGGCCATGGAAGCTACTTTAAGAATTTTGATTTTATATGGCCAGTGGACATTGTTAATCAGATCAAAAACTGTGAAAGGAGTCCAGTGGGTGATATGCTTACAGATCCTTGTAAAAGCAACCTTTCTCTTTCTTTTTTTTTTTTTACTTTTTTGGGAAAAGAAAAATAAAAAGTCACATATGCTTTCCACCTATGGTTTTAAGATTTATTTAGTTCACAGTAATTGGGGACCAAAATGATTGCATGCCACACAGCTTGAGAATTAGTTTTTTTTTTTTTTTTTGGGTTTAATGGTTAGTTCGGGTCAGTTTACGTATACGTCGATTAATTCCTTTTCCAGTTTGGTTAAAGACAAGTCATTCACACTGAGACTAGAGTATTCATGAGAAATAAATCTCTCACGACCTAGATCCAAAAAATTGTTAAAATTCAAATTCAAAATATTTAGATTTATAACTCATCTTTATTATCATTTAAACTACCGTCGAGATTCTCCGAGAATTAGTGAGAATAAGTTCCACTCAAAAAAAATTGATATGTCCAATCAGATTTTTGTCTACTTCCCAATTTTTTTTTCTTCATAAACAAACTATAATAAGAATATTCCTTTGAAGTCATTTTCAATCATATCAAGCAAAAAACATAAGGGAAAGCAACCCTGCGTGTGTGTATATATATATATATATATATATATATATATATATATATATCAATTTAGGAGAATCTCAAAGTTTGTAGGTGACACACGTCTGAATAGTTTTAAGATAAATGCTTTGTTGAGTTGTAGATAACAACTAGATACATCTGAATGGTGAATAAAGATTTATTCAGATGTATTGAATAAAATAATGGGGAGTTAAGAGTTTTTAAAGGATACAAGTAGAACGGAACAAGATTGTTAAAGAACGAGCAATAACGCGAAGCGAATGAGAGTCCTGCCTGATGTGAAAGTATACTTGTCTGGCTTCTTTTGATCCAAGCATTTTGTACACTAAACTGCAAACTTGAAAGATCACCTCTTGGTTCATCTTATTCGACATATATTCGATTAAGGATGGCAGTGAACCAGGGTAGGGGTGGGGGCATAGTTTCCATTTCGTATCCATTTTAAAAATATTCGTTGGTGAAAAAATTTTAATTTTTATCTCCGTTCTATGAGTAAATTTTGATCCCTATCCCTACTCATAATAATTAATTTCCATGATTTTAAAAAAAAATTAAAAAAACCCATAAAATTTCACAAATAGATTTACAAGAAAGATGAAAACTCAAATTGATCAAACATAAAAATTTACAAAAATAATATGTATAATAAATGAGTGTTTCACTTAATTATTTTATTTGTATAAACAAATATATATAACAGATTTAGTAGGANTGAAAACTCAAATTGATCAAACATAAAAATTTACAAAAATAATATGTATAATAAATGTGTGTTTCACTTAATTATTTTATTTGTATAACAAATATATATTACGGGTTTAGTAGGGNCAAGAAAGATGAAAACTCAAATTGATCAAACATAAAAATTTACAAAAATAATATGTATAATAAATGAGTGTTTCACTTAATTATTTTATTTGTATAAACAAATATATATAACAGATTTAGTAGGACAGGACGGTGATGAGTTTCAGTCCATCTTCGTCTACCGTCCAATACGTATAGTTCATCGTTGGTCCAAAAGAGATAAATTTGAGCAAATACCCATTTTTTTTCTCGATCCACTGTCATGCCTATACTCGATCGGTATACCTGGCTAAACAATGACTTCATATATGCCTTTTGCAAGGCCTACCCCTTATAGAAGGAAGAGGAGTTAGACTCACCTGATCAACACTCATCCTCTACAATCTGTCATGCAGAAGATAATGGTAATAGCCAATGTCAATTCGAATCTTTTTCATTATTGAGTCACACTGCAAATTTCATAGATGACCAGAGGGGTCCTGAATGCTAAATCCACTNTGCAGAAGATAATGGTAATAGCCAATGTCAATTCGAATCTTTTTCATTATTGAGTCATGCAAATTTCATAGATGACCAGAGGGGTCCTGAATGCTAAATCCACCATGGTTGCTTGATACTAATTGAGTAGAAAGGTTGTAACTGTAGACTGTCTTCTTAAAGCTTTTTGAATCCTAAACTGCACTGTAAGAGACTGAAAATAAGAGATGCATAGAAGTTTTAATCTTCTTCTGCGTGGAGACGCTGGAATTTCTTGTCTTCAAAAGACGGGCGAGGACTACCTTGACCAATGAAGAGGTAGTAGCAGTTTTGCAGAAAGCAGCCAGAACCCGCCTCAATGAATCGGGTATGGGTGAAGTGTTTTTTTTATATGAACTTGCTAATACTCAACATGAAACTGACTCATCTAACAGGATTCACAGGCCTACACCCGATAAGCTAGTTGAAAAGAGAGATAATAACAAGACAAAAGTCTATGAGACAGCTAAAAGAAGGCTATAAGGTTCTACGATAATTTTATCTAATAATGTATTGAAGTTGATCAGTACAGTGTTTTGCCTTCAATGAACCTGAGATATCACTCAAGTTAAAGACATTTCTTCATATGTAAACCAGACATGACCTGCAAAATACATAAACATCTGAGAATCAACGACGAAGAAAAGAACAGTGTTTACCTTGTGGTGCAGTCTCTAAGTGTTCTATACATTCTATTGGATTAGCTCAGATGTTGCATTGCCAGTGAGAAAGAGGTAATCTGCATTCCGAGGACTAGACGCAACAAACATACTGATCTAAACCTCAGGATGCAGATTACCCAATCCTGACCCAATATGGCTTCTGAAGAGGAAGAAATCAGTGTATAGAGAAACAGAGAAGGAAAATATATAAATCATTACATAACTTGGAGGACGAGTTGATAACAATATGCATGGTGGGAGGGAATTTATAGGGGTTCCATCATGAAGTTATCATATAAATTTTGCAAGTAGAAGTTTGGTATATTGAATAAAGCAATGATAAGGTGCTGCCTCTGAAATCATAGTTGGTTTTGTTCTCCTCCAACCAATCATATGGAGAGAACCTTTCTTTCCTTAGACAACCCTATTTCATCCTTGACTGCTTTCTTAACAGGACCAGAGATCTTCACCTCGGCGGCTATACATGTTATACCAAAATAGATAAAACATATTGTACTCTTGCTGTTACAAAGTTTACAAAGAGTCACATGTACAACTTTATCCATGAATTGAGAAATTGCTTTCACGGTTCGAACCCGTACAACTCATTTGAAAAACCATACTGCTGACGCAACATTGTTGAAATACTGAGGGAAAATAAGAACCACATTAAAATCTTGTCGTCCTATGAACAGTGAAGTGAATAATGGGTTTGAAGCTTACCACTGTAATTCAAGAATCTGAAGCTTTAAGAACTCATCTACATGGGGATTCTCTCTCTCTCTCTCTCTCTCTCTCTCTCTCAAAGACAATATGAATCAAAAAAAGGAGGGTGGTAACATCTACCTTTTGCATCAGATTATCAGCTTTTACACATAATTACAGATTCTATTCGCTCGGTAATAGAAAAGCAGATGATTGTTTCTAGCTCATAAAGGGCTTGTTTGGATATAGGGAGGAGAGAGGGATCCCATTATATTACTTTACTTGCATGCTTATTAGCATTTTTCAGTTGAATACTCTAATGCAGCATTCCCTTCCAGGGACAGGGAAGCATAATTTAACTAGCAATGTTATTAGGAATTAATTATGTAGCCTAATTTAGCTCTCAAATCGAGTTTTCNTTGGATATAGGGAGGAGAGAGGGATCCCATTATATTACTTTACTTGCATGCTTATTACCATTTTTCAGTTGAATACTCTAATGCAGCATTCCCTTCCAGGGACAGGGAAGCATAATTTAACTAGCAATGTTATTAGGACTTAATTATGTAGCCTAATTTAGCTCTCAAATCGAGTTTTCAATTTAAGTACAAATCTAAAATGCAAAACTCATAATAAATGACAGATCACTGTCATAAAGCAATTGTACCGTAAAGATTCCCATTCAAACAATGCTAGCATTGTTTGGTGGGGTCTTTCTTTATTCTAGCCAAGTTACCATGTGGATGAAAAAAGATCCACATTTTGGCAGTGTTGAGCTTTATCCCATATTTTTTGAAGATTTGAAATGACTCATTGAGGTGCTGGATATGGAGCTTTACCTTCAAAGATTTCACCAACATGTTGTCCATGTAAACTTTCATTGTCAACTCGAGCTTTTCCATAAACATTCTGTTACTAGCCACTAATAAAGAGACTCAAGCATTGTTGAGCACAAATGACATGACTTAGTAATAAAAAGTTTCCTATTCGATCACGAACGATGTCTTCTCTTAGAAGTTAAGACTCATCCTGATTTGATTGTATCCTAAAAAGACGTCCATGAAGCTCAAGAGCTCATGATCTGTTGTCGAATCGACTATGAGGTCCATCCGAAGCAAAAGAAAACTATCCTTTGAACATGCTCGGTTGAGGTCGGTGAAGTTAATACCAGAATGAGGTAGTACAGTTTTCCTATTATAGGTAAATCCTAGTCCAACTGGTTAAACAATTTGTTAGCTCTTCCATATTGGTCTTCCAGTAGTTATTCTTAATTATTCAGGATGGATTCACTGTACAACATTGATGAGAATCAGAACATTGTATCTTTCATTATTGTAATGAACTTTAAAAGAACAGACACAAGTTAGGAGACCTAATTCCGCACAGGCAGAAAACATAACAAGCTTCAACAAACAAAACTTCTTTATGATACAATCATCGACAAAATGGAACTTTACTCACGTATCGAAGATTTAAATATGTATTGGAAAGGGATACATTTGAAGTGAGGGACCATGCTGTTTAATAGACTATACATCAGAAATATATCTTTCATGGCAGCAACCGCAAAATTTACCACCACGCAATATCTTAAACAAATACCACATAAATTAGTAATCTTCTACCAACCTTTATCATGAGAAAAATTGATCCTCTTATCTTCTACGTCTGGAGACGGATGAGCTACAAAATTGATGGTGGAAAGGCAGCACCCAGATGCAATGGCAACTAAGAATTAAACAGCCCATCTGATAGAAGCTTCTTTAGTGTCTCATAGGTCATGAAAACAATTCCTACACTGGGGACAACCTTGTAGTATTCTGGCATAATCCCTCTATACAAGCCGCGCAGGCCTTCGGTACAGAATATGTGCTTAAATGTTCCAAATAGGCCAGTGTTGTAAACACGGGCTCGGCCAGCAGCCCCTTCCAACTGCATCCTTCGCCTCACAAGATCCAAAGGAAATGTCACTGCAAAGTGATAGGAGAGAGCAAAACAATATACTCAGATTGATAAAAGGCAACAGTTTGGCTAAAGATTTCCAACTGCAATTATCAGCTTGCTAAATTTATGTTTGTCATCTCATCTGTTCAAGATGGTGGTAAATGTGTGTGATAAAGTAAGCTCGAAAAACCCAGGCCGGCCAGATTGCATTCAGTCCTATTTAACTACTTTTTGTTAAGAAGAATGATTGGTGTTTTCTCCTTCATATTCTACTATTGCAGGGGATTTATAGTGACAAAATAATGATAGTGNATAAAGTAAGCTCGAAAAACCCAGGCCGGCCAGATTGCATTCAGTCCTATTTAACTAATTTTTGTTAAGAAGAATGATTGGTGTTTTCTCCTTCATATTCTACTATTGCAGGGGATTTATAGTGACAAAATAATGATAGTAAAGCAGCACTAAACTAACCGACAGAAAAAAGCAATCACTAAACTATATCATCAATTTAAATTTCACCAGAAAGATAATAGCACAAAAGACATATAAGCCAACTCAAAAAGAAAAAAACCAAACTGATTCCTCAAGATACTTATAAATTCGGGAGCATACTTGAGGTAGGTCATGTATAACTCACCTGTTGACGATGCAATGCCTGAAAGACTGCCACAAGCAAGGCTGACAATGGCAGTAGAATCATCGGGCCTAATAAAGCACAAAATGGTAGCATTAAAAACTTGAAAAACGAAAAGAGATATAACCAGGCATATGACATCTATCGTTTAATTGATCCACAAGGGAATGCACACCTTTGAGAATGCCAATAAGTCCTTAAGGTCTCATAAACGGAAAAGCTAATAGCTATACTGGGTCCAACGCCCTGCATAATGTAGAGTATCTCAGTGGTACTAAGAGCCAGATGAAACAAGCAATAGACAGTGCTAAAAAACACATTAAAAAGCATACCAACAACGTAGCTCCAAGTCCTTTATAGAGTCCACAAAACCCTTCATCTCTGCAAATGGTATGAAACGCATGCCAAATCCCCTTGTAGTATATTGCATTTCTCTACAAAGTTTTTAACTTCATGAATCAAAACCAAAACTCAAGCATATAGCACCGAGAGAAATGAAAAGCGATGCAACCTTTTTTCCAGTAAGTAACTGCAACCTAATTCAACGAACTATGGAACATTTCCCCCAAATGTAAAATTAAAACAACCCACTCCAGAAAGTATTATTCGTCAACAATTCTGCATATAGTGTAATACTAACTTGGAGATGCAAAACTCAAATACAGGTATATACCAACTAAAATTGCTCACGGAAACAATCCAGCGGAACCATACTTGCCTCGAGATGAATCTTGTTAGAAGAATAACATCTTATGAGAATTTCAGACTATATGATTTTAATCACTGTTTTCTGTTGAATTCTACAAATTCAACGTTATGTTTGTAAAATACAGAGACAAATATTCATCTCCCATATGTGTGGATGTGTAAGGGTTGAAGATTATACAACTCCTGCTACGAGTCTGTCCTCTTCTAATGGATCAAACATAATAGAGCTAGCCTTTCCGAATCTCATAACCATTAACTATTTAACAAGGGGAAGAACAATCAAGGCCTCCCTCAAAGAAANTGAAGATTATACAACTCCTGCTACGAGTCTGTCCTCTTCTAATGGATCAAACATAATGGAGCTAGCCTTTCCGAATCTCATAACCATTAACTATTTAACAAGGGGAAGAACAATCAAGGCCTCCCTCAAAGAAATTTAGATTAGTTAACACGTATATACATGACATTGCTCATATAATATTTCCAAAGTTATGGGTGCCTTGCTGGTGTGCCAATAGGAAATAAAATTCAAAGTACACTTGCAAGCACCACCTTTGAAACAATGGAAAAAGATGTCATTGGAAAACATTGACGGGTGCTAGTAATATAAACTTAGAATGACGGAACACAATCCTGCTACCCTAAGCTTATCCAAACCACCCACAATAAAAAAAAAATACATATATAGATACTTATGTAGAAACTCCTAGAAATAATGTCTATTCAACCTGTGCTGCAAGGCGTGTCCTGACAAGATCCAGTGGGTACGTGGCAGAAGCAGCTGTTATTCCTGCCAAACCACCACCAATAAAGTGTACACCAATATCTGTACTTGCACTTCCACTATGACCCTCCAAGCCTGGAATTGATTTTAACAACTGTAGGAAATAATAGAGCAATAGAAATGGACATGAGAAAGCTGCAAGGATGATTATACACTTGTAATTCACAAATATTTGTACCCACACTTTTGTAACGTTCATAGGCATAGAAGTTGATAGAAGAATAAGGAAGACGATGAGCAATGGTAACAAGATTCCCTTTCCAAAACGCCCTAAAGCCTTCTTCATTAACAATCCGCAAAGCCTCATGCCACATGCTAGGCTTGCTCATCACTGCAACATCGGAGTGCATTCCTTGTACCTAAAACATAAACAAAGCAGTTAAATCAAGCTGTAACAAAAGTTAAGTAGGAGATGCATAAGCACAAGGGGGAACATATATTGTGCCAGGGGACAAATGTAATTGTTTGAAAGTCACAAAATTTACTTTCCAGGCAAAGGATCAAAGCAAGAATTAAGTTAATTGCAATACTCATTCTATAATGACACCAAAATCATCAATAAAATCATGATATATTGGAACAAATAGAATTCAACGATTAAGACTGCCAGTGAAACTTCAAGTATTCTGGGTCCTACATAGGTTTGAACAATTGACACAATTTGAAGAACAAGGCACCTCTTGATTCAGAAAAAGGAATACCATAGCTTTGCAGTAGTCTGCAAAACTGAAATGGGCAGAAGGGGGTGGCTCAAATGAACAACAGACACCCTCTAGTTCCTTCATCTAATAGCACCCGAAAGCCAGCAACTAAAATATAATATATACAACCTCAAAGCCCATAGCTCATAACTGCAGAAATTGGTGTATGTATTCAAATGTAAATCTACTAATATATAAAGGTTGCTGGTATACTCGAGAAACAGCTTTAGGCAATCCAAAAAGATAAAATTTTGACACCATTGAGGATAGAAGAATGGAGTTCCAGTCAATGAAAAGTTTTTTCTTATCAAAAAAATAAATAAATAAATAAGAAGAAGAAGAAGAATGGAGCTCCAGTAGCTGTTGTGGAGCGCCAATGACATCACCATGAACAACACGAACGGTCCTGTCCAACCTCCTGATTCCGAACCTATTTCTTTCTCTAATGTTTCAACAAAAAGAAAGGATCACCAGTCTCAGCTCCAAATCCAATTACGTGGAGAAAGAAATAGGTTTTTTTTTTTTTCTAAATTTGTTTCTATAAGTAATTATTAACAAAACTCACAAAGTACCCCTAAAATGAAAAGGCAACACAATTTGCAAGTAATTCTACACCACTGGGTGTATTCTGTTACCAAATTTCTCATCAATTTTAGCGATTGCAAGAACAAGAAAAGGTAAAACTGAAAAATAAACCTGGAATAGAATGGTGAGGCGAGCTAAAGGTGCCGTACAAGTCTTGCTAAAAGCTCCAGCAATACCACCAGCAAGAAGCTGATGCACCGTCCCAATCTGAGACTGTTGATGCACAGGCTGTTTCGGTGGCTGCTGTGAGTGGTGGTGGTGGTGCAATAACTTCCTCGCACCACCGTCCACCATACCCCCATGACTAGACACACCGACTCTGGCTTCCATTTCACGGCCCCTCAAAAAGAAACTTCTCTTTCTCTTTGTCCCGAACGAATTGAAACCCTAGAATGTCAAATCATCAGAGTGTAAAACCCTGAAATTAAAATCGAAGTTCAATGGGTTGGAGAAGAGATTTCTGAAGGGGAGGGGAAGATGGAGAACCATATAGAAAAACTTGATCTTGATTGAGTTTATGTTTTATTGCTTCGGTTTAAGAGTGGTTGGAGATGTTGGAATATTCCCTAGTTCATCGTACAGTTCGATTCCAAATGAAAGTAGAAGTGTTTTTATTTTTTATTTTTTTTTTGGATTAATTGCAAGTTTTACCCTGAAAGATAGTTGAAATTTCAATTTATACCTTCAAAAATTAAAAATCTCAATTTATACTCTCAAAGATAAAAATTTGTATCAATGTGCACCCCCAAAGATAAAAATTTGTATCAATGTACACCTAAAACTAAATTGATAAATTATACCTAGATTCCCTCATATTTGTCACTTAATTATTTGGACCCCTTCACATTTAGAATATTACTCATATATCTCATAACGTTTGTGCACATGTAACACGTAACCCTCTTTCATTGATATCTGTTAATATAACAGTTAAAAAATATAATTTTATCCTAATAAAAAATTATAATGTTCACTGGTAAACTTGATTTTGAAATTTAGAGTATATCGAACCTACAAAATAAAGGGTAATATGAAGTTATAATTTTTTATTACGATAAAATCATATTTTTTAACGGTTATATTAACAGATATCAATAAAAAAAGATTACATGTTACACGTGCACAAATGTCATGAGATGTAGAAGTAATATTCTAAATGTGAAGGAGTCCAAATGATTAAGTGACAAACATGAGGGGATTTAGGTATAATTTATCAATTTAGTTTTAGGTGCACATTGATACAAATTTCTATCTTTGAGGATGTAAATTGAGATTTTTATCTTTGGGGGTGTACATTGATACAAATTTCTATTTTTGAAGGTATAAATTAAAATTTTTAATCTTTAAAGGTACAAATTAAAATTCTCACTATCTTTTAGAGTACAACTTGCAATTAACTCTTTTTGTTTTTTCCCGATTGAGTGTCTCAGCAACTTACACACAATTCTATTAATCTCTTCTTCCACTCGGACTGCCAAGGTTCAAACTAAAGAGCTTGAAAAATATACGTACAAATCACGTTGTCAACTATGCCCAAAACTAGGCGGCCCATGGACCATCATCAAGGCATTTGTTGGGCCAAGTCCATTTTCATCCCAAAAATTACTTTAACAGGTGGGCCTCGATATAATAATAAGGGTTTTTTGAAAATCGGTACATCTAATTAGACTTATTTGATAAAAAATATATATAATAAAATCTAAGTTAAAAAGACATAAATACCCATTTTAGGGTCATTTAATTCAAAATCTCTTATTTTTAATGCACATTGATTCATGTGTGTTTGTTAATACATATAAATACGTATTTAATGCACTTTAAGTCATGTGTGTGTGTATATATATATATATATATATATATATATTATTTTTTTTTGTTAAATCTCTTATTTAAATTTTAAATTATCTTTAATGCATCTTGATTCAAGCGTTTGTTTTTTTTTTTGAAAAATAGTTTTATTTTCAAATTAATTTAATATCCGAATAAAGTAATAGTATAATAATAACAGTGTAACAAAAACACTGTAACAAAGATAATGTAACAAATACACTGTAATAAAAATAGTGTTTAGTAGTTTTGTATATATGGTAACAAATTCAAAACGGAGATGAACTATTTTTGAATGAAATTATATGAAACTATAAGTTTGACAAAATGTAATAGTACAATATTTTGTGTAAATAACTTGTTACACTTTTATTGTTACACTATTATTGTTACATTGTTACACTTTTATTATTACGCTTTTATTGTTACACTATTTGGATATTAAATTACACTATTACACTATTTGAATATTAAATTAATTTGAAAATAAAATCACTTTCTAAAAAAAATGCATGAATCAAGGTGCATTAAAAAATAATTCAAAATTTAGATAAGAGATTTAACAACAAGTATATACATACACACATACATATATACATAAGTATTTATATATATATTAAAGTTCTTCCATAAAATTAGGAGATGTTTAATGCACCACTTTCCAAAGAAAAATAGTGCATTAAATACACATGGATTAATAGAGGGCAAAAATATCACAATAAAAATAGATAAATTCAAATTATTTACTTGGATACAAATAAGTATCAAAATTAACTACTTAATAACCCTACATTTTTTAGTGTGTACTTTTTACCAAATAAGTCTAATTTAGTATACCATTTTACAATTTACCCTAATAATAATCAAGATTAACAATCGTGTCGTGTCATGTATAAATCATATTATTTTTATTTTATTTTGAATATTAAGACCTAATTCAACTTGTTTAATTAATTGTATCATATATTTTGACATTAATTCAACTTCTTCATTTTTTGTGTTGTGTTGAAGTTGTTACATTTAGATTTATATTTTTTCTATTATACTAATAATACAAGACGTGCATTGTACTTGAATATATTTAAATAATAATTTATTATAAAAAATTTAGTTATATTTGTAATTTATTTGAATATTAAATTATGTAATGAATAATTAAATTTATATTAATTATTATTAAACATAATTATTGATATATTATATTTATCTTTGAGTGCCAAATTTGTTATTTTTTTAGGTATCTTTTCAACTTCTTTAAACATTTTCTCTGTTGTTTATAATAGAGTTTAATTGTCAAATTGTCATTTTGAGTATTTACGTATCTAAATACATTATTAAAATATTTTATCAAAGAGATTAATTAAGTATAAATTATTTTTTATATTATAATATTGTCGCATACAAATGAAATCAAATGTTACATATACTTGACAATAAATTTCTATCTACTAACAACATGTATATAATAATAGAATATGAATTAGACTTTATTTTTTTATATAAATAGATATAAAATATAGTAAAATTAGATCTAACAACATCTATATATTAATAGAATATAGATTAAACTTTATTTTTTATATAAATAGATGTAGATATAATAACTATTTGTAAGTATAATACTAATAAATGAGTTCACAAGAATGTATAAATCAAATATTATTACTAATAAAAAAGTCGTTGTAAAATTGTCATTCTTAAGTATTTGTACATCCAAATATGTTATTCTATTTTTTTGTTAAAGTATTATAATATTATGATATTATTAAATATAAAAAAAATCAAATGTGACATATTTGATAATAAAATTCAACCTGCCAACAACATTTATATAATAATAGAACATAGATTGAACTTTATTTTTATATATAAATAAATATAGATATAGAAATTGTATGTAAGTATACAACTAATAAATTATGTCACAACAATTAAAAGGTCAAATGCCATTAATAAAAAAGTTCAAAAGAACTTAGATATCAGATATGTATTAAAAATAAAAATCAAATGAAAATAATATATGAGTAGAATTGATTTTACAATAATAATTAGGGATAAATTAGAATATCAAAAGTTTTTTACTGGCATTTATAGATAGTAGCAATACACGACGTGCGTTGCATGTAAATAAATATAAATATTTTTTTTAGAAAATGTGAATTATATGTGTAATTAAATTAAATAATAAATTAAGTACCAAATAATTAATTTGTATTTTAATTATTAAGGTATCTCTCCGATCCCTTTAGACATTTACATATCTAATTATATTATAGGATTATTAAATTTAACTTTGTTAAATAGATTGATTAGATCACTTATAATATTATTATATTATTACATACCCAAAAATAAAATATAACATATATTTAACCATACAATTTAATCTAGTAATTTCATGTGTATAATAATTTAATATACATAGGATTTTACTTTTTTATATAAATCTAAAAAAATGTATATAATTGTACTATTAATAAATGAGTTCAAAAGAATTTAGAAGTCCTTATAAAAGAGTTCAAAATAAATTGAAAGTCAAATAAGAGTAAAAAAATAAAAAATATATGAAAGTATATACGTAGGTATAATTGATTTTATCATAATAATTAAGAGTAAAATAGGAAATCAAAAATTTTTTGCAGATGCTGACATTTATAAGTAGTATATATATATATACTTTCACTTAATGATGGATCATTTATTATGTATGGATGAAGAACTATTTATAAATAGTGAGTTCTACTTTAATTTATGATAAATAATCTTTCATTAAATCAAATTAAGTGAAAATATAATAAAAAAAAGTAATATTATTTGGACTCTAAAAGTTGACACTATTTGCTGACTTCATCAATCACAGTTATTTATTTAACGGTGAGTCTCAGTATTTATTGAGACTTAATACTTATTCAATAGTTGTGATCAACGAAGTCGACAAATAGTGGATGACATATTTTTAACTGGATCGAGAAAAGAATTAGTTGAGATATACGTATATTGGCCCGAATACTCTTGACCGTTGAACTAAAAAAATAAATGAAGACAACAGGCATTTTTATTAGTATAATATTAGTTAACTAGATTTATAATGTCATAATCACATTATTTTTGGATTTGTGTCAAAAAAAAAAAACATTTGCAAAGGCAATTTATATTTTGCATAATTTTTTTAAAGCACTAATTATTATTTTTTATTCTATAGAATACAATAATATTTAGTAGTTATCACATTTTTTTTTTCGGAGGGAAAATTTCATAATCTGTCCTCAGCAAATAGAAACGCGTTTATGTCGCTCATGCTCGTAACGTAGAATTAAGGACAAAGCCCGAGGTATAAACCAGTCCCTCAACTCATACATTATTTAAATTAAAACTTGCGTTTCGTTAGAGACTCAATACTCATATCAGATACTTAAATACGATTCGTCCAAACAATTGAAATCTTATCCTACCCAATGGACTTCGAACCCCTCACCACCCCCTAAGAAGCCAGAAAACTCTGACCATGTGAGCTACCCCATTTGGTTATTTATCACATCTTTCAACCAATTAAAACGCGAAAATTTAAAGCCCATTTAGAAGGACTGTGGTCCTACTCATTGATTAAAATACTCTATTTCTTGTACTATGATATGATTACTTGTTCAAGTTATCCGCCCTTATATCATCACTTTTAAAAGTGTCTAACTCAACTTAAATATACTTAGATTAAT